AAAAAAAATCAAAAAGTTGGTAGATGGGATATTTAGTGTAGGGAGGATGGAAAAGAAAATAGATTGATGTAATCATAAATCTCTATTAAAATGGTAAAAATTTAGTGGTTGTGGATCATATGATGACTTAGGTTAGCGAGTTAAGATTGGGCATTGGATTGAAATTGAAAATCATTCGAACATATAAACATGCAATGGCGAATATTAAATGGTAAAAAAAAGGAAATATGGTTAAATTAAATAGAATTATAGTGAATGGTTTATCCATTTTAAGGTAAAAAAAATTAGAGTGACTAATTATTTGAACATTTCTAATTAGGAAGTTATTCAATCAAATATCAATGTGTAGCTCTTCACAAGTGTTAATAAAAAAGGAAACTATGCATTGAGTGTGTTAATAAACATGGGAAGGATATTATATACATAGTTTCGTTTTCATCAATTATACTATTCAATATACATTACATCTTTTTTTAATAATTGCCACATTAATATTCACCTCTCTTCACTTTATCAAAAAATAATTGTAAAAACCAATTTTTTGTAGATATACTGACCAAACAAAAGTAAATATACAAAAAAATAAAAAATCAATTAAAATTTGGAAATAATACTATTTTAAATAAAAAATTCACATTATCTGACATAACCGTCTTCATATAAATGTATAATATAAAATTATAATGTTCTTTGATAATAATGATATCTACTATTACTATTTAGCCTTCCAAATATGATCTAATTTATTAATCTTCTTCTCTAGATGCTAATGTAGTACCAAAAAGGGACAATGAAAATCAAAATTAGATGGGTATAGTTGTGATTATTCAGTTTACTTTTCTCATCTTAAAATTCAATAAACAGAGTTACCAAATGCTGATGTAGTTAAATCAGAGAAGCATACCAGATTGATAATATGATCATCTAAATTTGTCTTTTATTATCGTATCTTAACATCCAATAAAGAAGATTAGATGCTAAGGTACCTATCAGGAGAGATACAGACTGAGCAAATAGTTCCACAATGAAATTTTTTAGATAGATTAAAATTATATCTGGCACACATCAAAATAGGTAGTTTATTTTTGATATGTTTTTAACATTAGTTAATTTTCATATAGCATTCCAATCATCTAATGTTTTCCATTCAACAAGTTATACTAATATTTCTAAATTAGCGAGTCTATCAGATTAGAATTTTTTTTGATGAGATTAAAATATGATTTATTTTCGTATTCCATCCAATTATAAAAATATTCTATTGATTCTCAAAACTCTTGTCAAAATTCTTCAGCATAATTTTGGTATGAGAGGGCAAGGATTTTAAACCATATCTCTATTTATTTAACTTTGATCCCTTTATGCTTGGAGTCTTAAAATTTTTAATTAGTATTTCTCTAAATTTATTGGCATCCACTGTAAATTCTTATTGGCAATCAACACAAAGTTTTCTTTAGCATAAACACTTTAGAGGACCTGCAAATATCAAAAGTATTGGATTTTTGATATTAAGAGTGCAATTAATGATCTTTTTTTAGAAATTGTCTATTTTTTAATGTTTGGCTTTAAGCTTGATATTAATAATAACAAATGTATCTTGTGTATTTATGTTAAGAATACGACTAAACTTTGTAATAATTTGAAGTTGATTGTAATTGTTGTTAAATTGATTAATGAGAAATCAAATCAACATTTGCATTACCTGAATCTTAAAGAATGTAGAATGACTAATTTTTTTTATGAGAATTTGATTTATTATTGATTATTAATTTTTCTCATTAATCCATTTATAGACAACATTAATTGTAATTTTTTATTTGAATATTAACAAAAAAAAGTCTTAATAAAATCTGGCACTCCACAAAACTCTTTAGGATTTTATTTAATAACCTTTTGATTTATTCTTTCTTATATAGATTGAAAAAAATACAGAAACTGATAATTAATTAAAAAGATCCTTATAAATAGGCAATTTTATAAACATGCCAGAAAATTTTTAATATCAAAATATAGTTTTATTAGATTGGAATATATAAGATTAATTCAAGAAATGAAATCATTTGAATAGTAGTTTACATTCGTGTCCTATGTGCATTAGAAATGTGATTACGATTATTAAGAGAATGATCATAAGCAAAAGTGTGAAAAATTGACATCAATAAAGAAGTATATATGATTTTTATACATAAAGGAAAGAATAGAATTGTAATAAGATCGTCTCCATTTCTATTTACTTTTGAAGAAATAAATGACAAGCAGAAATCCAAATAGAAGAAAAAAATGTTTAAAAAATTGTGTTTATATTTAACAAAGAATAAACTATAACCTAATTTCACATCCAAAAATAGATGGAGGAAATTATTAACTCACTTTGGCTTATTTTATGCAAAATAATTCATTTTCTTTCTTAAAAATTATAACAATAATAAAAGAAACCTAAATGATAATAAATATCATTTTTACAAATAAAATAATTAATCAAAAATCAGAATTTTTTTAAACTTAAAGCTTCTTAGAAATATATAAAACGATCGCAATGTTAAATGTATTTACAAAAACCAAATAGATTGATAAATACTGAATAATGATTAGAAAAATACTTTAGGATATACTAATATTTCTTAAAAATTAATAAAAATTTATCCCGTCAAACTTTATAAGATTCAGTATGCAAAATACTAAAAGAAATAACTAACCAATTTTGAACAGGAACTAAACAATCAACAAATAGATAAATTTAAATATCTGAATAATATGACATATAATCTTAATAAAAAATAAATCAAGTATAATAAAATCTATAAAATCAGACAAATTAAAACTAATATCAGAAAATTATTTAAAAAATAATCAAAATCATATACATAATTTTTGCCTTGTTAATCAAAATTATAATACAATACAGAATCTATTTTTAACCTCTATAAGTTTGAATTGCTCCTTACAATTTTAAGTTTTAAACCCATAATTTTTTGCTCGGGCACCATTTTCAGGAAATTTTCAAATTCAAAAAAACTAACCTGGTAACATCTGCCCGACAAATATAGGGAATGTTTGATTCCATATAGGCTTTCCCTGGATTTCGAGAAATCCTTGATTTCCTAGAGGCCGCCTCGGAGTTCTGGTAGTAGACAGTAATATTATGACCATCCAATTTGGTGTTTAATTATCCTCCATAAACGGATAGATTTATCTTCACTCAGATGCTAATTTAGTTCCATCAGAAGAGATACAAACTGATCTTGCGCATTTACTTTGGAGTCACGATCCACTGAAGTTGCATCTTACAAAATTAGTTCCAACTAAAGAAATATTCTTAATTCTGATGTTTTCAAAATTTTAATTTCAAGGTCCACTTTCATCATAATTAATACATATTATGAGTTTGATCCAAATTATATTACATTGTCATCTTCGGCTGTAAGGTGAACTAAGAATTTTAGAAATTTAATTGTCTCCTTTCAATCTTATATTCTTTTTATTAGATCATGTTTCTGTTCCAAAAATCCTTCATCAGAATAGTCTTATTTATTAAAGTAATGATCTTTAATTGTTAGAATGACCTTTATAACATGTTGGTATTATCTCTAACACACAAAATCTCTATTAGTTTTCTTCTTGTGAAAAATTCTCTCCTTATTAAATGTACTCTTCTAAATGACTTTAATTTTTATTGTCTGAAACAAATCTCATCTCTAGAAAATTTCTTTTCCTGACATTTCAATTATCTATCAGTATATTTTTTCATCCACACATTTAACTTAAGCTAAAATTCCTTCTAGATCATCGTTCTACTCTTCAGGGCCATTCATTTCTTTTCTTTTTTTAAGTTATTGATTTTCTATTACTCTTATAGCTGTATACTACAAATCGAAAAGTATCTTATCAATTATTTAGAAGGTGAGAGAACCAGAATTTCTAAAGATTTTAATTTGTATGTATTTGTCCAAAAAATAGTTAGGGATATCAAATCAATAAAATTAAGTAGAAAATAAACTTATAAATTAAAAAAATAATTAAAAATTGATATGATTCACAACTTATGTTGAAGAAACTAATTTCAAATAACTACAAATATATTAGAATTAAGAAACTCTACAAGGAACAACATAACTAATACAGATTTATAAATAGAAAGAAATCCTTCATAAAAATCTAGCTTAATTGACAACAGGAAAAACTTTAAGATTTATCAATATTTCTCAAAGAATTGAACTCAAATGTCTTAAAAGTAAGATTTTAGATACTATAATTTTTTTGAGTATAATTAAAATAAAAAAAAAGAGAACTTTAAAGCTATAGGACAAATTAGTATACAAAAATCAAATAATCAGGCAAATCTATGTTTGTGTCTTAAAAACATGTCTAGGCATTAAACTCATCAATTTCTTCTTCAATCATACTTTTTGAGTGGGACATTAATTTTACTTTAAACAATATTTTAGAATGTCTGACTGCTTTTAAGTTGATCTGATTATTGATTATTGCTGAAATCTGAATCCAAATTATTGCCATAGACTATCATTAGGTTTATATGGGTAATCATAGTTATTTTCAATATTTTTATAGTTTACTTCAATAATTTCTGCCATTCGATTATTTTATTTTCCCAAAGTATTTCAAACGTTAGACTTCATATTCAAAGTGAGGCTTAAGATACTATATCTATAATTGTTAAAGGTAAAATTGTATTAATGATAATTAGGTGGCTACATGGGTATTGGCCTTTTTATAATATTTTTCTTATGAGCACAGATATTTCTCAAAAAGATATTATTACTCCTCAAATAAATCAAACAACTAACTTCTTCTATTATCTGTAATGATATTTATCTCTTGAGCTAGAAACATAATTCGATTTATATTATATAAATGATCATCATTTATAGGTTTTTCTATAGCCATTCTAGTGTTTACTATTCATTTTAATTAAATAGATCTTTGCATTTTTTTCAGACATATTGTCATAATTACAAGGTCAGCAACATAATCTTTTATCTAAGTAGATTTCATCATTTTTTTAGGATAATTATACTTTAATCCTTTATTTAATGATATAGGTCAATATCATACATTCATTTTCAGCTTCTGATAAATTTGAATAAAAGTAATTACTGATATAGTTTATTAAATTATAAAAATGCCAATAGGTATATGAGGCAAGAAATATTTTTATGAAAAAATTGTAAAGTAATAAATAAATAATTAATTTAACTCTTACCCCAACATAAAATTTCAAAATTAAATTGAGCTAATAATATTTTTGAAATCCACTTTGAAATATTAGTCACTTTATTTTGAAGAAAAAATATCAGAGAAAATATTTTCACAAATATTTGTTAACCTATTAAAAATATTTCATAATAAAGTATAATTGTGGAAAAATAACAAGAATTAAAAATTCCCAAAATAAATGAAAAGATATCTTATTTGATATTAATTTGAGTTTCTACGAATCTCAAAGCAACATCAAAAAATCATTAGGTTTGAGATTTAATACTGCTTTCATTATTCGAAATACTTCTTTGAACTATATCTTTTGGACATGATATTTAATTTTTTACAATAAATATTAAGAGAGACTAAAATATTATCGTTTGATATGTTATCTATTTCATTATAAATATCATTTTATATAATAAATTAAATTTTAAACTACGAAAAGAATTATTGATATGTAATTAAAAGAAATATATATTTAATAGCGAAATTTAAAACATATGAGTTATTGGTTAATTTGAACTATATTTTCCCTATCAAATTACCAATACACTATCTCTATCGAAAATTCTCTTTAACTCATTTACATTGAATTTTTAAAAGTTTAAATTGATCTCTAAATCTTCAAATAACCTATGAAACAATATTTATAAATGATTGCACATCTTGTCTACATATTTATTATAGAATAAATGATTAATTCAATTATTAACCTTTGACTATTTCTTTTATGGCTTCTTATTTAAATGGCTATCACAAAGTTTTTGAGGCACTTTCTGAGAAATTATACAAACTATCTTCTAGTCCGAATTAATATGTAAAAATGAGATTCCACATATTTTAATAAGATGATGAGAAAAAATACACCTTTGATTGTTAATTTTTATATTTTATTTTCAATTTTTCAACATAAATGAGCCATAACTTACTATATTTGATATCATAACTTTCATTTTACATTAAATTTCCACAATTTTTTTCAAAAGATTATTATAAATTATATCAAATTGTAAAAAAAATTTTTTAAGCAGTTTTTAGAATTGTGGTAGATAAATATATTCTTAAGCCTGTGATTAAAATATATTTCATATTGATCTGATGACCTTTGTTATTATAGCTTCTATTTGAAAGGAAAATCTAATTTGTTTTTTTTAAATTAATAGACTTGCAAAATTAATGAAATCATTTGATTCAACTACTTAGTTACTTAAATTTAACTTTTCTAAGGTGATCATTAACAACAAAACGATGCTAGAAATTTCTGATGAAATTAACCATTTCAAATTTACTTTAAATTTCATTAAGAAATACTCTTTTAAAGATAAAAGGAATAGCTTGTTTTAAATAAATTAGAAAATAATGTGATGATATTCAAAATTATTTAATTGGTGTAAAAAGATGGAGTTGATATCTCTAGGCTTTAAGAATATAATAAACTAAATTAGTATTAAGTATTTAGTATTTGAAAAGTAAAAATATCAGTGTTATACAAAATGGATGTGTTATTTAATAAATTTAAGCTGATAATATAATAAACATTAAATCTAAGCTTCAATATCACAGGAAAAGTAGAGTTTAAAGATATAGTTGTAAAGTATGTTCAAAATTTGAAACTTGATCTTCTGAAAATAAGATAGAAAATTCAAAATTAATATATTATCTCGATAAATAGAGAAATTATTTTAGTTTGAAAAAATTTTAGGTTTAAGGGAAAATTGAATAGTGAAAAATTATAACAAAGGAATGAAAATTAATCGATTAAGAAGTTTTTTTTTGTAGAAATGATTAATATTGATTTTCCAATATGAATTCTTTTGCATAATCTCATTGCAATATCTATTAACTAAAAAAACACCACTAGAGCTATTTCTATACTTTGAATATAATTTCTCAACTAACCTCAGTCTGTAAGTATGTTATTTATAAGCCTTCTAAAACTTAAAATATAATTAATAATTTAGATTACTGATTTATATTTTACTTTTTATTAAGATGATTACCTAAATTTGATAGAATAATATCTTAATATAAAAGGTATTTTACACTCATTATATTTTATAATGGATCTTTAGATGAATTTCATACTATCATTTTGTTAATTAATAACTTATATATATTATTATATAATTTAAGTCATAATTTGAATAGACGAAGTTGATTGATAAAGATTTTAATATAATTTCTAATTTCCTTGATAATATTATGCCTTATAAATTAAAAAAATAATCCAAGATCATTTAAGACATACTTATTAGGTTATTATTTCCTTTTGGAAAATCATAACAGTTGGGCTTTTGTATTTTATGTAATAATCTTTAAAATATTTTAATTAATCTCTAGAATTTATAAATTCTTAAAGCAAATCACTTTTTCAAAACTCGCAAGTTTATATTAGTCATATTCTCACAATATGCACCATTACATGTAATTTTTAGTGAGACTGTGAAAAACTCTAGTAACTCTTTGATCAAAAATTTTAAGGTGACTTATGACGAAGATATCTATCATATGATGAAAAATTTATATATTATATTTCGCTGAATAATTCATGGATAGAGTTGGTGGAGAAGCAAATGAAGGAGATAAATGGATATATATTGTAAGAAATGATAGAGGAAGTATATTGATTATATCAAGAGGAAAGATAACTATATATAGTAGGATGAAGATGATATAAACTTGTTGATATGTCTGTAGAATAATAGGAATAAAGTATCTATGTCTTTAACATCAAAGAATGAAAACCTGAGGTTTTCTAGTACCGATGAAGCTTAAAATGGTTGGTCTTGTTCACTGATTATTAGCCTCTAAGTTTAATAGATCAATTCTCTTAGAAAAGCTGAGGAAGCAAAATTCGATATTTGACCTGGAGCTTTAGTAAATTGGAGATTTATACTTATTAAGTATTTTGGAAAGGTTGAAGATAAATCGTACTCCAAAAAATATTTACTTGTTTGAATAATATTATTGTTGATTGCACAACTAGATACTATATCAGACTATTAAATTTATAGATTTACTATATTACTCTAATTGGTTTTATATAAGTTGTTCTTGGTAATCCTAATTTTTAAATCCAACTAGTTTATTCATGTAACTTTTATTTTTAAAATATTATTAATAATGAATAAGTATTCTATATTTTATATTATAAAAATATGCAATCAATTAACAATTTATTGGATTTTAAGAATGATTTATGAAAGTAGTGATTATTTAACTAAGTATTTGATTATTTTTCAATTTTTGAAACAAAGTTATATGTTTTCTATTCTTTTTTTTAATTATTAAACAATAATAATAAATAAAAAATAAATTATAATATAAAACAAAAATAATTAAAAGATGATATAATTTGATATAAAAAAATTAAAAAATAAATAAAAATGATCCTTTGAATAACGATGAAATCATTTTAACTCTCATAATTTTAGGTATATAAAAAAAAATTAATCTAAATTTAAACATATAACTTTAAAAAATTATTGATCTAGTTCTCATATTTAAGGTAACTATTTTAAAATCTTATAAACTTTGCCAAAAATCTATTTGGTCAGAGACACACATCTTTTCAATAGGTACAACTTGCCTTTTATTATCATATGGCATCTGGCATCAGAATATATTACTTCTTTTGGAATTTAACTTAATAGACACTGAGATCATTACTTGTGATGTACCTCAAACTACAGCTAAATCTTAAAAAAAGATCAATTTAAATCTTTAAATTTATATTTGATCTATTAATTAGCTGTCAGGAGTCGCTATTTGAAAAGATCAAACAAGAGTATAAATCAATGTAATAAGCCTACTTTGAAATAATTTCTAAATATCTTATTTTTAGAAAAATAATAATTGAAAACTTCAACTTGCAATTTTACCGTTCTCCATTAAAAAGGAATTGAAAATTCTTAGACTTTGCATAATCATACAGATGAGTATTTAAATTAGAACAATTAAAAACTCCATTTAAATTTTTTAATCTTTATAAAACATTAATTGATTGATTAATTCTATTTAAATGCAAATACATCATAGAAGCAGAATTTAATTCTTTTATTTGAGAAATTTAGTTTAGATTTAATCCTGAAAATGAAAATTTTTTAAGATTTCTAAATATAAAAATAATTATAATTCAAAAACCTTTTTGTTTTGATATTAACTAAATACCCTTTTATGATTTTAAATTGAATACATCTACTGTTACCTGAATTTTTTTATCATACTATCTATTTGCATAATGCATTAATTATCCAGCTAAACAATTAATAATGAATCATATACAGACTACCAATTTAATAATTCAAAAAAAAATAAAAATTATTAAATATTTATGATGGATTACTTTATTGATCACCAATAATCAGTTATAGATGATCATCTAGGGTTGAAAAAGATGAAAAATTTAATAGATTAGTATGGGATTCTTCAAAATACTCACCAAGGCTAATCAAAATAGATATCACCTTAACAAAGGAAGAAGAATTAATATACACAAGAGATGGATCAATTATACAAATGTACTGCCTTTTTAATCTATTATAATAATAGTGAGCAAATAAAAGACATATATAATTAGAACTAGGCGGCTTTGTCTAATTTATAATAAATTAAACTCTTTAATTGTCAGGAATATATAGGAAGAATAATTAGAAGTTTGTTAAATGGTCTGCAAATTGGGCATGAGAGAATTAAAAAATGTAGGTGGCTGGTATATCAAAAAATAAAATATAAATTTTCAATTGTATACTATGCTCTTATGAGGGAAAAAATAGGGTTTGTAGAAGGAAATAAGTAAAGATTTTGGGAGGCAAGTTAAAATTCATTATTGAATATTTAAGCTAAAGTAATTTAAGATGGAGAGTATGTGAATGATTAGAGAGAGGGAATATGAAAATGAAATGTATTTAAAATTAAATTCAATTAAACAGAGCATTTTGAGTATTCAATTAATATTTTTAGAAGAATTGTAAATGGATTTAGTTGAGTGATTGACTTTAGTTATATGAGTGATAAAATTACAATCATTTAGTTTTTTTTTCCAAAAGCACATTAATTTTTGAGGATTTTTCTTTGTTAATTTGAAAAAGAATTATATTATTTTATTTTTGGTAATGAATATTTATACATTAGTAACGATGATGGATAATGTGATGTGTAATACTGTGTATTTAGAATAATGACTAAAAAGAGATATCAATAAGGAAATCTAAAGAGAAGTAATATAGCCATGAACATAATATTTACATTAGTCTTTTGAAGAATTTATTCTTATTGTAAAAATAAGAAAATCTGAATAATAATTTGACTTTAAATGTAAATATTATTCTCTAAGCTCTGTATAAAGTTTTCATTTCTCTTTAAAATATAAAATGATTTTGTATATTTTTTAGACAATAACTTCACACTTTAATTTTATTCTAATATTAATAACAAATATGAAATACAATTGATTTCATATGATTTAAACCCACTTATTTTTTGGTTGAGTATCCGGTAAACTTTGAGTGTATTTATTTATCAATCTTAATATTTCAAAAAAATGGGAATCAATAAATATAGGTATATGTAACAATGTAGATTCACCATTTGACTCATCAAATACTTTTCCTTTTCTTCAGCACTTATTTGATTTATGCTTCTTTTCATGTTATTAGAAATGATCATTAGTTTTTATTATGTTATTATTGGTTTTTAGTTTTAAATCATTTTTCAATTTTAAGTTGCTTTATTTTTTGGCTATATCACACTATTGTAGCACTTTAATCCCTCCTAAAACAGCTTAATACAACCTATTGTTATAATTATTTTAAATACCTAATTTATTATATGCTTTATCATTTTTGGGTTTTTTTAAATGGATATTCACCCTATCTATAAATCTTGTTCGAATTAGTTCAATTCTTTTATCTTTAGGTTTCATAAATCTAAAATTAATGCAGCGCTTAATATTATAAAATTAATAATTTTATTAACATAGGCCTCATCATTTTAAGAACTTATTTTAATTACTTTATCAAATTAAATAATTAATCCCTTAAATTTCTTTGACACAATATTAACCAAAAAACCATCATAAACACAGTAATGAAAGTCCTCTATTAATTAATTATTTTCGGAATTTAATCATGACCTTATTGATTTTTCTTTCTATTTGAGATTCTTCTCTAAATCTTATAACTCCTCTAATATCTATACTAAATTATTACTTTATTAATTTTTTATTGAAAACTTTTCTTTCTTCCACTTTTGCAATTTACCTTTGTGAATCTTATTTCCTTTTTATTTTATCACTTTTATTTGATTTTTTCAAAGTAAAGAAATATTAATTAATATATATTTATATCTAATGGTTTTAATTGCATTTATTTTTTTAATTAGTTATACTTTATAATATTCATTTTCCATATACATTCTTACTTAAATTGCTTTTGACAAGCTGTTTCATTTAATAAATTATTGTCGATCCTCAGTCACTGCTGCATACAAATTTTAGATTCAGAAATTAATAGATTATTCTTGAACATAGAAGCCATTTTTTTATATATACTATTAAGAAAACAAGGAGTAGATATCTTGACTATTTTTCAAATCTATTTCTGATTTCTTTAAAATTTAATTATTTTATCTAATAGATATGCATTTATTGTCTATTATTTGGTTAAAATGCAAATAAATCATCATTTATAAAACATAAACATAATCCATACTATTCTACAACTATCTTTTTTTCACAACCCATCTTCTGTCTGATTCTGAAAATTCAATGATTAGTATTGAATTTCTTCACTGCATTTAATTAATTTATTTTATTATTCATTTATACATAATGCTAACACTCTATTATTATGATCATTAATAGTTTACTTACAGTTCCATTAAAATTTTTTTTGCCAAAATTTAATTGTCCTATCATCACTACCAGAAATTATAAGATCGTAAGTTTTATTAATTAAAACATATCTAATAAAATTAACATGACCGTCTAATTTTTATTTGTATTCACATAAATTATTTTGATTAATTGACCATATGATCATTTAACATATTAGGTTTATTTTTTGAAACGCCCATAGCTACATCGTTAACATAAATAAAGCTTTTGGCATTGTTAAATAAATTAAATTATTTATCTTTAAGTTCAGACTTCCTCGATTTTTTTCTGACTCAAATCTTGTATCTAATTCTTCTCTCAATTCCTCTACTATGAATCAAAATAAATATCAAACATGAAAGGGCTAGTATTAAGCTTTAATAAACTTCATTTGAGAGAAGATTTTAGCTTAATAGATGTCTAATCCATCCATTCCAAAGCAAATAATTTATCTTGGATAGAAAGATCTCACTTAGACTGGACCATTAATTTTTCCTAACAGATCCTGCTTAAACTTTGTAGTTAGTTACAAAATCATGAAGTTTAGCCTAAAAATTAGAAAATTAGACTTTGTTCCTTTTAATCGCCTCCTTATAAAAATATTTAATATTTCTTTTTTAATCATAGATGCTAATAAAATCAAATCGCTAACTCTTCCATTTAGTTTTGCAACTATAATATGATATAGAGGATAAATAGGTCAAATAATTGTTAATGAATGGATTTCTTGGGTACAAACAATTTATTAAAAAAAAATTTATTTTGATTTAAGGATTTAGGTTTATATATAGAAATAACAATTCTTTATATAATGCATAACTTTTCTGGTATATTAATTCCATTAATTATTAATAAGTTACACAATTATGAAATGGGTTCTTCTTCTCAAATTTTTTTAAACTAATAAATATAACCTATTAGAGTTCATTAATGCTTTAACTTTAAGTTACATTTTCTTACGGTAAGTTTATATTAGAAAATCATGTATAATATATGCTCCAATTTCTTATTAAGACCATTAATTATGATTTTAACATAAACTTGTACAAATTTTCTTAAATTCTTATTATTATGGAGTTTCCAATTAACACTAAATAATATGAGAGGATCAATACTAATTTTTTTCATGTTATTAAAATCTAAAATTAATAGTAAAATTTTTTTCGATTTTGACATGGTTTTAAGTAAATATATTTTGTCTTTATAAAAATATTGAAATTAAATTAGAAAGTAAAAATAGTAATTCCAAAGATTTTAATGACCTATTTATAAGAAAAAAAGTTCTATATATGAACTATTTTCAGTTTTTTTTGAAATTAGACATTTTAGTTTTATTATAGTTTATGATTAAAATAGATCAATTTAAAAATAAATTGATTCACAAGATTTACATAAATTCACTACATATTAGCACCAGAGTTAGTATGTCCAGAATTTCAACCCCGAATCAAAGTAATTTATTCAACACCGCCGTGAGAAAAATTATTTTAAATAGAGATCATTATAATCTAACTATAAATTTTATTTTCATTTATTTATTAGCACTCATATTGCCAAATATCTTACTCTTTTCATATTTTTTAAAGTTCTAAACACAAAATATTTAAATTCACTCTTATACATAGCTATCTAGTCAGTTTGTGTCTAAGAAAGATGCAGCTTAAGATAATTAAAAAGAATTTATTTATTTAGGTTTTGATATTATATTTCATCATATTGTTGTGTCAGCATGAAATATCATTCAAATTAATAAGCAATTAGTTTTCCAGTGAAATATTATGAGTAATTGGAATTATATGAATGCCCAATTTGTTGTTAAGAACTTAATAACTTTGGAACTTCAAAGTATTTATTTATTCTTAAAAGAAAATAATTTATTTATGGAAAAAGTAAAGATCAAAGATTTTTGATTAAAGATTAGCCTATTACTAGTAATCTTTATTTTATTTTAAAAGATAGTACATTTTATGAATCTCCTTAATATATGGAAATATTTTTAATAATTTATTAATTATAATATTATATATTAATCAATTACAAAGCTTAATTAGCTTAAATCTTTATTATGGACATGTCTCCATATAAAGCATCTTTATTATAGAATCTTAATAGTTTTACTAATATATCAGGAAATTTGGCAATAACTACACCTTGTTAGGCTGAACCTTGATAAAATAAGGTTTTTGTTTTTCCATCATCCCCTATGGCAAAAATTGCATATGAGTAACTTTTGAATTGAAATCACACATCCAAAACCTAATCCTATTTATTAAATATCATGGAATGGAACTAAAACATGCCCAATTATTCCATCATATAGAAAATAAATTTAATCTCTTAAAGGGGTATATTAACATCTGGTGTTCTAAATCTATTCGTTCAAGCATTTATTTAGATTGCTCCATTAGATATTTGAATTATTATAAAATTAATTTCTTTATTATACATCCTCATGAATCCTACTTAAAATGAAGTAAATTTTAAAAAGAAATCATTATTTTAATAATAAATAATTTAATTTAATAAATTTATTAAATTAAATTTTTAAGAAATACAATAGTTTTAAATAAATAAAAATAAATAACTTTAATTGGAAAAAAAATTATTTTGTAATGTAATTTCTTCCAAACAGGAATTTTTACTAAATAATTCAAACCTATCTAAAATAACAAAAAGAAATAAATACTCATTTATTATAATATTTAATATATTGATATTTGATTGATAGGTAATCATTTGATATTTTCAGATGATTTTAAAGTAAGAAATTGATGATAATTGCACTATTTATTTAAGTATTTGATTTTTTAAGAAAAATTGATAATTTAAATATGTGAAATGGGTAAATTCAATATCAAAAAATTATAGTATCTAAGTTTGCTATTATCAAATAAGCTATAATGAACAACTTAAATTTATGATATAACACCAACAATAGGATTTCCTAAATATTTATAAAACGAAGACTAGAACAAAAATATAATAATATGTTATTTTGATTAGAAGAATTCAGCATTCTAACTAAATGTGTCATTTTACTTCTTTGGGACTTTTTTAACTACAAAATATTGATTTTTCAATTGAAAATAATAATTTCAGTTCGTTAGAAAAACAATTTTTGCAATCATGGTTCATCAGATTCTAACTTGATGGTTTAAAAATGAATTTCATTTGTTATACAAAATAATTTTTAAGTAAATAATTAACAACATTTGATTTGCTGATCTCACATTTATTACATTAGATTTTAGTATTTAATTTAATTTTTCAAATTGTATAATTTTTTATTGATATAATGTAATTTATTAAAGTAACTATTTAAGTTTTGCTTAGTTATATTAATCCTAAAGCTAAATTTGTCAAATAAATAGATTGAGCTTATAGATAAATAAAATAAAATTCGATTTATTAGGATCATTTAAAAACACCAACTCAATAGAGGTGGCCAAATTTTCTGAATGAAGTTTTCAAATCCTAATCACAATTTAATGAAATTTTTAGTCATGAAAGATATCTGCTTTATTAAGAAAATATGCAAGTTCTGACATTAGATAATAATTTAAGAATCCTAATTGGATTTCTATTTTATCACATATATTTGAGGATGTTTAAAACTTACTTTAAATGTTGAACTTAATATTTTAAGTAAAAAGTTATTCAAGCGAGGAAATAAAATTAAAATAACTGTTCAGCACAGATCATAAATATAATTAGACAAGGTGAAGTACTAGCTTTTTGTATTTCAAAATAGTGAGAAACCCCACGATATTTACTTTAGTATCCAGTGAGGTGAGGAAAATTTAGAGGGACTAGGAATCTAGTGCAATATTGAGTTATTTATTTATCTGAGCTTAGTTCCTCCTTCATCATACTAGAGAATACAAGGTTAGACTGAATAAATTAACTATAAATTATGAAGTCTTTAGCATTTAAAAGATAATTTAAATAAAATGATTTCTTTACTTCTTTCTCAAATAAATTAATAGTTTCATCTAATAATTCTACAATTATGAATTAATTCAAATTAAATTATTATTTTTTCTTTTATGACTAAAGAATGAATGTCATTTTTGTTTGTTTGTTAATTTTCCATAAACAAAATCTTACAATATATAAATATTTTTTTAATTTTATAGACACAGAAAGATCTTTCAATTCTTAGAAAATAATGGATTTTTTATAAAGAGGAATTTTTAAAATTTGTATTTATTTTTTTAGTTTTATTTGAAAAAAGTTTGTCAAGATAGATTCTTTTTACTTCCTGTAAAAAAAAATTTTTTTTAACTTTTAATTCTTAATGATGTCATTTTTAGGGTCACCCAAGGAGGGTTCTCCTTCGATCCCCTAGACTGATGACCGGGTTCTGAATTACTTGAAAACGAGAGCTTACCATGACATAGAGAATAATCAAGACTATATCAAGAGGGTAAGATTTAAGGACTCGTAACAACGAAACCCCTCGAAAGACCCGGTCGAGGCGAGTTCCTCGGAGGAAGATGTGCATCTAAATAGATTAATGTGCAATTTTAATGATTACTCAAATTCCAAATTTTTTAATTTCTGCAAAGAATTTATATTAAATAACATAAAAATAATATTGCTAAATAAAAATGACTCCACTTCCTAACCGTATCACAATATCAAAGTTCTTAATTTTGGTACAATTCACAAGTTATAAAGTGCTCATCACCATAATAATTCATGGCTTCATTATCAGGTTTAAGTATTTAATATTCTTGATTATTGCAATCATCATATTACAGTTAACAAATGTATTTAAAATTTCCCATTAAGTTTGTCTTTCTGTCTTGTATTTGATAAACTATATTATAATTTACCTATCCTATTCTTAGATCTTAATAGGACCAGAGCCAAGGTCCATTTTCAGTGGTATTAATGGTATAATAGGATTATCAATTAATATAGATATTCTATTGAATTAATTCTAGAGACATTTGAGTTACTCATCTATTTCTGTTTTAAATGTTTTGGTGTGTTTTTTTACCACAAAATTTTTTTAGAAATAAGAGTAGCTATTTTTAAGATATTTTGATCTACAGTTTCTGGATCTTTAGGAATAGGTTTTTGATGTCTGAACCTTTTTGCTTTAGTTGAAGAAGCATTTTTGCTTTGCCTCTTAAATACTTTGAAGAACATGCATAAACATTTTGAAGCACTTTTAATTCAATTCGAAAATTATTATTATTCAATTTCTTATTATTATTTTTTTTTAGTTTTTATAGAGAAAAAATGGTTTAAAATCACTGTTATTAAGAAAGATAATATATAAAATTTGGAAACAATCCAATTTTATTCAGGTTAATCTTAAAAAAATTAATATTGTTTATCAAAGTAAAAAAATTTTGAGAAAATTCCGCTCAAGTTAAAAAACACCTTTTCTGTATGTCGATAAAGATACTTCATTTCACTATATTTAATTTGTCTCTTAAATCTTGGTTCAACATCATGGCAATCTGATAAGTTTTAGAATTCATTCTAAAGTATTATAATGGGAAATAATTTTCAGAAATTATTTAA